ACCGAAGGCAGATTCCGGCGGTAACGCCCAGGGAAGTGACATTTTCGAGGCGGAACGTCAACACGATGGCCCAAAACAGTTGCAGCTTTTGGACCCCACCGCCGAGCCGGTTGATTAATGAGCTGTGATGCTTGGAGGTCTCCAAAGTGGGTAACTGGGAAAGTGGGCGGGGCAGTGCAGTAACCGAAGCTGTAAGTTAAGCAGTTTTAAAAGGGAAATGTCAGCTGAAGGATTTGTTACTGGTGACTGGGGAAATGAGTGGCTTGATTACGTGAGCTCAGCTCAGCTGCAAAAAGTCCGGGGAGAAGAATGGAAAGCACATCTAAAGGGCTCACTCAAAGAAAATAGTAATGGAAGATGATCAACAGGGAATTATTTTGAGTTAAAGGGAGAGCTGGAACATAAGATCTATGTGTGTCAAGTCTATAAGTACTTGGTAATAAAAATTGCTGCAATTTAAGCAACATGAATAGTTTTGCAACACATGCAGCATATCTAGCCGAGAGCAAACAATTCTCATTTATTGCCAAAACAAACAACTTGTTCAACACATGTCTGAAAATATAATTTCCTTAACAAACTCAATTCTAAAAATAAGTGAAATAATTTCAAAAGCAAATACCCGGACATCAATCACATACAAAATATCAGATAACAACACACTCTTCAATCCAACATCCTAATCAAGTTCGGAAATTCAGTTTTAGTTTCAGTTGTGGCTCCCAAACCCCCCCTTATAAGTTGTGTGTGTGAGAGTTTGAACTGAAATATATCCAAAAACATACAGCATTAAGCTGCTCGGGGATAAATTACAAAATGGGAAAGCATAACCGAGTATCTGGAAAATATTTTTCCACTCTTGTATGGCAGACAAACTGGCAACAAATTGCATAAATCAAGTTACACATCAACTTGCAATCACAAACTCTACTGCCAGTTGCAGTCGCAGTCAGAGTCGGTACTGCATTAGGGTTTCTGGCCAAATAACAAACATTTTCATCTCGAAATTCCATTCCCAATGGAATGCAATTGAAATTTAATTTTGATAGATATTTTCTCGCTTTTTTCTCCCTCAAAAAAGCCAAGCTTTTTCGCGCTTGCACCCAGTATTTTTCTGCACTTTTTATTTTGGAGGGCATGGTTTTCAAGGGGGTTTTTCACGACCCGATTTTCGTGGCTGGATGAGATTGAAATGTAATCAAAAATTGCGAATATTGCGAAAACTGAACTGCAAAGTACATCCTGCGGGCACATCTTAGTTGCAACGATTGCGTGGCAAGTGCTTCTGATGGTTTGTGGATTTGTGGCCTTGGGTTTCATTACATTTTCAGGAGGAATATATACATCACCAGTATGGAAATATTATTCTAATATTTTAACTAAATTTTGGTAATCAGCAACTGACAAATATTGAATATTAATCAAAGCAAAGGTAACACATGTAACACTTAATTTAAGACACTGTTGAGCCAATCTACCAACAAATGGTGTACAAAATTAATTAAAGCAAACTGAATCCTGACAAGGACACGCACAATGCACCCATGCGAGTGTGTGATTGGGTGTGTGTACATTTTCCTACCCGGAAAAGCCCTTGCTTCTGGCTCCTAAAAGCGAGCACAGCTGCATACTAATAAGCTGCCATCCGGGCAGCACATCCTCAACCTCTTTTGGGCCAATACCTCATCCTGTCCACCTATACTGGCCACTTGGCATCTGGTATCCTCCGGCCATTTTCCCCGTCCTCGGGGTCTGTTGGTCAGCCACGTGCCACGCCTACAATTCCGGTGAGATTGGGGCGGCGGCGGTGGCGACGACAACGACGGCTGGGAAAAGCTGTCAAGCTGACGTCGGTACAAGCATTATGACGGCATTTACACATCAGCTCTGAAGCTTCAGCCCCAGCTTGGCCAGCAGCCGAGGATTAAGTGGAGGACCTTTGCCCAAGGACTTGGGAGTCCTGAGCTCATAAGCCGTTGCAAAAAGGTTATACGAGCGAATATATGTGACTAAGTAAAAATGACCCATAAAATGGGGATACAAAAATATAGAGTACCTTTTAGTTGGAGAATTTATCTTCTTTTTTAAAAAGAATTTTTAAAAAGATTTATTTCTTAGTTTCTAAAGACCAGAAGCTCTTTAAGACCAATTTAAATGTTAAAATAGTCATGTTTTTTCTTACAATGTACCAAGGTTGCTTTTTAAAAAAGCATTCCTGTGAATTCTTTGAAATTTTTGCGACTACTATGCAAATAAATCCGAGTCTTCGTGGCTAAAAAAACTCAATTTCAGCCAGTCAGTGCAGTAGCAGCTGTTACTTCAGCCAGAAACCCCCCTTTTTTTTTAGGGGAGCACTCTGAGGTTCAACCGTACCGGAGGTCAATCGTACTCCGCCACCCTTGTCCCCACCAGGACATGTGGCTACAAACAGCGGGTGGCGCTTTCTATTTGTTTGCCTGAAAACACGCAGCGAGAAAAGAGCAGAACGGATCCCAAGGACTAGAAGGACGCAGGACGAAGGATGTTGAGCATGCACTAGACCCATTTCGTAGATGGTTTAGAATGCAGGACAGGAGTTGAATTGCACTTGCCCAAAAAAAAACAATGACCTAAACCGTGAAATAGCAGCTTTATGGGATGAGGGTTTAAAAAAAAAATGTTTTTCTTTCAAATTTTAGGAATCTATACTCTTGATAGAGTCATTATAGCCTTTTATAAAGAACTTTCAATGGTTCTATTTTAATAGAACTATCAGTTACCAACAAAAAAAATGAGAAATAAACTACCCCAACATTTTTTCACAGTCTCTCTCAGATATTTGCTTGAAATTTCGTTTTTCTGCAGACTGCACACGGTTTTTTGGATTGGGATAGGTCCTGGAATTTTGTTGGTTTCTCTGGTTGCGCGTCCTAAATGGATTTAGCTTGTCGCCCCATCTCTGTCTCTCTGTTTCTATCCATCTCTTTCCAAAAGGGAAAATGGGAAATGTGTTCATTTGCATGTGCCACATGTGTCCCAGAGTCGTTGTGTGTGGCAGAAATGCAATAAAAACGCCTGCCAGGGCTGATGTTAATTCACAAATTCAATTGTCAAATCAATACAAAATGGCAAATAAATTCTAATCTTTTTTTTTAACGCCAGGCAGCTGTCAGTGAAGAAATATCAGCCAGATGAGTCAGAATCTCATTAAGTGCGACCTGTCACGTTCAATTACAATAAATATCCAGACAAGTGTCTGAAGTGAAGGTTTCTCTGAATGAAGACAGAAGCCAAGATGGCCAGAAGGCGGACATTGCACTTGGACAATTCTAAAGAGGGTATTATGAAGTGTTAATAAGAAAATTGGAGTTGAGGCCTTAAGCCAGAGCTATTAAACCTTTTAAATTCAGATACTATTAAGAATACTTTAGCTTTAGTTTTTTTTTTCCAAGTGTAGACAAAGAGATACTGAACAACCGGAAAACCGGACGGATGTGGCTGGTCAGGCCAAATTTCTGGTCACCAGCATCAGTGGGTTCCACATTTTGTGGTCACTTGATGGACAACCTTTGGACATTGGTCTTGTGTGTGAGTGTTTTTATACCCTTGCAGAGGGTATTATAATTTTGGTCAAAAGTGTGCAACGCAGTGAAGGAGACATCTCCGACCCTATAAAGTATATATATTCTTGATCAGGATCACCTCCTGAGTTGATATGAACATGTCCGTCTGTCCGTCTGTCTGTCTGTTTCTACGCGAACTAGTCTCTCAGTTTTAAAGCTATCGTCTTGAAACTTTGCACACACCCTTCTTTCCTTTGCACGCAGTATATAAGTCGGAACGGCCCGGATCGGCCGACTATATCCTATAGCTGCCATATAACTGATTGATCGGAATTGCTATAACTTTGGTGTTTTTGAAGATAGAAAACTGGAATTCAATACGGATTCTATTTTTGGTCAGTTGATCCAACCTACCAAATTTCATAAGGATCGGCCGGCTACATCCTATAGTTGCCATATAACTGAACGATCGGAAATGGTACTTGGTAGAAATATCAACTTTCGTATTTTTGAAGATAGAAGTTTGGGACTTTTTTTTAGATTTTGTATTGTAAAAAATTGGATTATATTTTCCTATTCCCATAAGGATCGGCCAACTATATCCGATGTTTGCGATGTATATCCGGTTTTAACTGCAAGGGTTTATAAACTTCGGCTCCGCCCGAAGTTAGCTTTCCTTTCTTGTTTTTTTATATTTTAGCCAACTGGCGGAAAAGTGTCTAAAAACCGACTAGGGTTAAGTGGGTGGTAGGTAATAGTGAAGCGAAAATTGCCGCAAGTTCGACAACAAAGACAAATATTTGCAGATATTCAAACGATGTTGCGCGTCTGTTGATGTTGTTGCATTGCATGTTGCTGCTGCTGCTGTCGTTGCTGCTGTCGTTTCTGATGTTGATGTTGATTGTTGGTCTAGTGGCCGCTGCTTGACCAAAAGCCAACAATTGGTCACGATCACTTTGCCTTTATTGTTTTCGTTTCTATTTCTCTCTGGCTGTCGGCTATTTTTCCTTCCAGTACTTCCCTGGCTTTTCTCCAGGGCGTTGAATCCCCCTTGTTTTCGCACTTGGCTCGTTCGTGTTGCTGATTTGACGTGACTAATGGGTCGTTAGGCGTACGTATGTCCAGTCCGGGCCTCATGGAGCCAACAGGTGGGCGGGGGGACCTGGTTAGTTATGCTTGAGCTGAAGTCTCCTCTTTCCCGCTTACATGTTACAAATTGCGTAGCTCGCTTCGTTGGGTTGATTGCAATGCTAGCCTCCAAGAAGGTCAAGGATGAGTGCAATACTGGCATAAAAGTGCAACATTTAAGTGTGTTATGCTATCCAATAATAAAATTTCTTGTTAACAAGGATAAACTCGTACTGTAAACTACATAGACAACCCACATCTCTTAAGACCCAACCTCTTACCTTACCACTTCCAATTAATTCCATCCGATCATAACATTAATCCCAAAAATGTCACTGTCAGAACTCACCTGCAAAGATATGAAAAAAATGCGATAAGAATTAGTAAAGTATTTTGCATAAATCACGCGTCAAACACTTGCCACAAGACCAAACAAATCGAAACTGCATTCCACGATGGGGGGAAACACAATCACCTGCAATATCCATCACTATTAGCATCACCTTTGTCATGTCCATGCCCCGACCGCGATTAGCTTCGAAAATTTGGCATCTGTCGGATGCTATTTTTTTCTTGCCTTTTTGTTTTTTGTGGCATAAATTTGCATATGACATCATCAAAGTGGCAATAGCAGCAGCCAAAGTTTTGTGAAAAACAAACAAAAGTGCAAGCGGAATGCAAAAACCAACAAAAGTCGCAGCCAGAGCAAAAATCTTTGCCGCCGCCGCCGCCTGTCAAATGATTTGCAACTCGGTGCAAATTCATTTGCCTACCAAGTTTGCCTCCCCTGCCCCAGTGCCAGCCCCAAGCCCAGTCTCCTACCATTGGCAATTATTAGTTGGCAGTCTGACGATGTCTGAAAAGTACAAGCCAAGCTCGAGACACACAGAGCAGTGATTTCCACTCCCAGACGAACGAAGACGAAGACCAAAAACTAAAGACTATAGACGGCAGACTGCCAGGCAGTTGCAGCTACAAACTGGGAACTGGCAGCTTGCAACTGCCCCGCGGTGGACACGAAGGCCACGACCAAGAAATAACAAAATTAAAAAAATATATTTTCCAAAAGAATATTTTGAGGATACTCTTACTATTCTATTTTATTGGATAGGATTTTATTTTAAGACCTTTATGATGCTTTTGACTACCTTGCTTTTATATTAAATTTCTTAAAAATAAATTTAATCACAAACTGAAAGCCAAAATCCAGACCCCTTAATGAAAGAGTATAGACAAAAAATGATTCGATGACTACAAGATTTGTTTGCCATCAAGTCTAGAATCCATTTTCCCTCCCTCCCGTTTGAAGCCGCCCATTTCTGGTCGATTTGCTGGCGATTTGGACGTTGATGAAGTGATTAACCAAGCCAGAGAGCATTTGGCTTTTTGATAGCGTTTATTTTATGAGCTGACCTCGAGGGCTTCTCGGCTACTCGGCTCCTCCGCTTTTCAATGTTCCCGCGATTTGCGGTCGATGAAGCGCAATCGAATGCGATCGGCAGGTGCACCCCAGGTGAAGCAATAGGTGGGTATAGCCATAGCTGGATACTTAGATGCGGATGGGGTATGCAAATTGTGGCATTATGACAGTGTGGCAGACAAGCTGGAGAGCTTTGATGGTCAAGAAAACAAACGATTTTGATTTATGAATAGGAATTCATGGAAGCTATTTAACTGGGTATATCTTTAGTTTATAAATTGTAGAGACATAGTATATATTTCTATAAATTATGAATCATCTTAATCATATACACCTTTCGTAATAATTTAATAAAAATATAAAGTCAGATGGCCCAAGAAATGTAATATTTTTATAGATTTTAAGCAACCTTGACTTTGTTTCTTGAATTAGTTCTTTTCCAGACAGAAATAAATTTTTCTCAATTTTGTAATAGAATTAGAGGCAATAAATTCATGTTGGATAAGCTCGGCAAAGCCCTTTGAAAATATCCAAATGTTCTGCTTTATGAGATTTATAAATGTGCAGACAAATCTTCAAAAGCCCCGAATAAAGCGAGTTGGTTTTATTAAAAGCGAAAGTGTTAAAGAGATACTTTAGTCCGTCAAGAGACTCCACCCAGCTATAGGATTGTTATAAACCCAAATAAACGAAGATATACGTGTTGTTAGCCACCTTTAGACCAAAAGTGTGTTTAATGCTCGTGAGTCTCGCCTTTTCAGACCTCACGAGTGCATTGTTCCCAATCGAAATCCAATAAAATTGATATAAAAATTGTGTAATAAAAGAAAATCGCTTACGAATGCCCAATCGAAATGCTGAAAATGAAATATTGATGAAATCCACTGGCTGCATTGTGCGCCTGACAAGCCAACAAACCGAACTTGACTTTGGCTTTTGAGAGTCGCGACTCAAGTCGCGTTTCTCGAGTCTCATGCATAATGCAACATTGAAAGACATTGGAAATTTCTATCAATTTAACGAAGAAATTAATCACTGGAGGGGAGAAGTTGTAGTTCGGCTACTGGGCTTTTCGACAATTTATTGACGATGGCCTGGCATTGGCATTTATTCTCCCAACGCGCCCAGAAAATAGATGTCTGCCACACCATACATACAGTGTGGACAATGGGTTAATGTTCAGCCGCAAAACGTGACCCCCCGTGATCTATTGAAATGCCGAAATGAACCAGAAATTGAGTCATCAGCACTGGTTATCAATATGACGTTTCGGACATTAATTAAAAGCCATTCAAATGCATATTTTCGTCAACCTGCCAAATACCATAAGCGGACCCCCATTTGGAATATTTGTCTGCCGAATGCAGCATTCGAATTTATATTTTTGAATTTTAAATTCAAATACTTTTGTCCTCCATTTTCCATTCCATTTACTCCCAGCCCGAAATAATGTTTATTGATTAAGCTGTCAAAAGTGCATAACAATTTTTGGTTACATTTTCATAATTTTTGGCTTTTTTGTATTGTTTCTTTTTTATCCCAAATCGCATGGAAACTGACAACTCTTTTAATGCCAAATGAGCTGTTACAGTGGGCACAATGGGCCTTAAAGTGCACTCTAGTCCGATATTAATCAAGTTGATATGCAAGTCACTTCATAAATTTGTCATCGACTCGAGGAGTGACAACCAAATGGCATTCGAACACTATATTTTAGTAGATAACATATGATATTCGCTTGTTTAGTCTCTATTGTATTTAAATAGGTTTGCAAATGACACTTAAATAGATAACTCGATAATTTTAATAAGAAAATGGCTCAAATCCAGAAAATCAAATTTTGAAAATGAATAAAACCCACAATAAAACCCACTGCGAAAGCCATATCTTGGCCAATATTCATCCGATTCTTAAGCGGAGTACCTTAAATGAATTTTAGATCGATTCTCCACTCATCTGCATCAAAATATTCAGACTCAATTTTTTTTCGATTTTCAATCAAATTTTCTGATGACCCCTATGAAAATGGGGAAAATCGTGGTTCCCATAACATGGCCCACTGCGAAAGCCATATCTTGGCCAATATTCATCAGATTCTTTGGCGGAGTACCTTAAATGAATTGTGGATCGGGGAAAATCGTGGTTCCCATAACATGGCCCACTGCGAAAGCCATATCTTGGCCAATATTCATCAGATTCTTTGGCGGAGTACCTTAAATGAATTGTGGATCGATTCTCCACTCATCTGCATCAAAATATTCAGACTCAATTTTTTTTCGATTTTCAATCAAATTTTCTGATGGCCCCCTATGAAAATGGGGAAAATCGTGGTTCCCATAATATGGCCCACTGCGAAAGCCATATCTTGGCCAATATTCATCCGATTCTTTAGCGGAGTACCTTAAATGAATTGTAGATCGATTCTCCACTAATCTGCATCAAAATATTCAGACTCAATTTTTTTTCGATTTTCAATCAAATTTTCTGATGGCCCCCTATGAAAATGGGGAAAATCGTGGTTCCCATAATATGGCCCACTGCGAAAGCCATATCTTGGCCAATATTCATCCGATTCTTTAGCGGAGTACCTTAAATGAATTGTAGATCGATTCTCCACTAATCTGCATCAAAATATTGAGACTCAATTTTTTTTCGATTTTCAATCAAATTTTCTGAAGACCCCCTATGAAAATGGGGAAAATCGTGGTTCCCATAATATGGCCCACTGCGAAAGCCATATCTTGGCCAATATTCATCCGATTCTTTAGCGGAGTACCTTAAATGAATTGTAGATCGATTCTCCACTAATCTGCATCAAAATATTCAGACTCAATTTTTTTTCGATTTTCAATCAAAATTTCTGATGACCCCCTAGGAAAATGGGCAAAATCGTGGTTCCCATAATATGGCCTACTGCGAAAGCCATATCTGGGCCAATATTCATCCGATTCTTTAGCGGAGTACCTTAAATGAATTGTAGATCGATTCTCCACTAATCTGCATCAAAATATTCAGACTCAATTTTTTTTCGATTTTCAATCAAATTTTCTGAAGACCCCCTATGAAAATGGGGAAAATCGTGGTTCCCATAATATGGCCCACTGCGAAAGCCATATCTGGGCCAATATTCATCCGATTCTTTAGCGGAGTACCTTAAATTAATTGTAGATCGATTCTCCACTAATCTGCATCAAAATATTCAGACTCAATTTTTTTTTCGATTTTCAATCAAATTTTCTGAAGACCCCCTATGAAAATGGGGAAAATCGTGGTTCCCATAATATGGCCTACTGCGAAAGCCATATCTTGGCCAATATTCATCCGATTCTTTAGCGGAGTACCTTAAATGAATTGTAGATCGATTCTCCACTAATCTGCATCAAAATATTCAGACTCAATTTTTTTTTCGATTTTCAATCAAATTTTCTGATGGCCCCCTATGAAAATGGGGAAAATCGTGGTTCCCATAATATGGCCCACTGCGAAAGCCATATCTTGGCCAATTCCCAATGGAAATGCCTTAAATAATATATAGATCAACCAACAATCTCACCACCAATCTGCATTAAAACATTCATACACATTTTTTTTCTAATTTTTAAAATATTTTCGGTGGACTTCTTTAAAAAGAGTTGATGCCCTTGGCGTCGCAACTACAAATGGGAATATGAATTCGATTTAAAAGGAATTTATTTTCTCAAAAGAAATACTTTTTCATAATTATTTTACAAGTTTGATTCCACTGTTCATTAAAGCCATGTGAGACACTTGCCAGAGACAGATACTCAAGCACACACGATCATGCCACACTCGAGGCACACCCACCTGAGTGAATTCTCGTCGTTTATATGGTACGTACTATGACTTGCCTTGGCTCTCTAATCGCGGCTCTTATATTTTATACATATCTATGTGGAATGGTTTTGCAA